CTGGGTGCTGTGGTGCTTAGCAAATCCTGGCGATAAAGACGCTGGTGCTACTTCCGGGATGCAAGGGTGCGTGCAGAAACTTCTTGCGCTTCTGGATGCTGCGGGCCTGGGCAGTCACTTTGGAGAGGTGCTCTCTAACCTGTGCAAGAGCCGGGGGGCAATGCGAGAGTCTGTGCTTTTGACGCCCGTGTTTTCCCGGAGCTTGTTCAGCCTTGTGACGAGCGAGCGGGTGGAGATACGGACAGCAGTTGCAGAGAGCTTGGAAACTTTGGCAAGCCGGGATGCTGAGAGTTGCAGGTTGATTGTCCAAGTTCAAGAATAACCAGCAAAAGCTGATAGGCCTTGTGGAACACGAAGGGGGCGACTCGGACGGGCCAGAGAAAGCGGCGAGCGTGCTGTGGGATCTTGCAAGAAGGGGTGCAAAACTCAGAACGAGAGAGCACTCCAAGTGCTGGTGGGCTGTTTGACCAGAAAAAGCAACTTTCTGCAGCAGTCGGTTGTGGCGCTACTGGCGGCGCTAGCACGGGATGCTGCAACCAGGCAGGCGGGAAGCGAGTTGCCGGAGGCTCCCACGTGGCTGATCATCGACCTGCCAAGGCAATCCAGCAGTCCGGGCGAAACCCGTGCGGATCCCTGGGGTGCTGCAGTACTTGGTGAAGCTCTTAAAACTGTATTGGATGCGGGAAGTTGCGCTATCGGCCCTCAGCGTCTGTATAGGCGAAGAGGAATTTTGGCGGGCGATTGCTGCAGTGCCGGAGTGCCTTAAGAGGCTGCAGACGCTGGCGACTTTGCCGGATGCGGAGATCAGGAGGGAGCGGACCGCGGGCTGAGAGCAGCAGCGGCTGAGATTCTCAGGAAACTAGGCATGGAAGCTGGGGGGAACGGGGCCCTGGAAGCAACTGCGGGGGTGGCAAAAGGGGCCGGAAGCTAGGGAAAAGCCGAGAGTGGAGAAACGGGGGCTGGGAAACCCTAATCGAGGTGCGGGGCGAGAACGAGGAACGGGGGAGAAAGTGGGGAGGAGGCTGCAAGAAGAAGAGGTGGAGGGAAGCAAGGAAGAGGAGCGGCGAGTGAGAAGTGTGGAGGGGCGATCAGCGTTATAGCGTGGCTAATGCTTGCTACGTTACGTGCATTCTCATTTCGTGGCTTGGGACGTCGTGCATCTCGATCATCTCCTCGACATCAATCGTTTGATTTAAGCTTTCGAAGAGTGTTGTTCATTGTCGACAAGAAGATGATCGCTGCCACCAGTCGAAGACTCTGGTGACGTCCGCCATTTCAGTTCTAAGATCTGGTATCAGGTTATATGAGGATTTAAGATGCAAACTTGTCGCATTTGGGAGCGAAAGGATCGTCGATCGCTTTTGAGCGACCCTCCTCTTGGCTCAGATATTAACGCATTTTGAAAATAGCACTAAACGTCCAACCTGCGTACTTTGAGGAAGCACAAACCTTTTGCAAGGATCGATCGAAGCAACGGAAGCCTTTCTTAATTTTGCCCACCCTTTTCAGGCACCGCTGCCGCCGGCCTTGTTTGGAGGTCAACGACCGCGAGGTCAGCCGTGATGTCAGCACCGAACGGTCACCTTAAGTCAGTTGGGCGGAGGGTCTGGGTCGTGCGAGGAGAAGAGGGGCTAGGCGGCACCTCTCGCCGTAGGGAAAGGGCGGGCCGAGAGAGGAAGACATTCGACAGCAGAAGCTTAAGCGGCGGCCTTCAGCACGGCGGAAAGAACCAGGTCTAAGCGGAGGGCGCACTTTGACGGAGTAGCCCGCCTCAGGTAAGCTGAAGTCTCAAATTACCTCTTGCAAACTTCTTGACTTTGCCGGCTGGATTTGAAGACGAGGTGCCTATCTGCGGCCGACACTTCCTTAGCCTTTGACACGGAAGCGTTTGCATTGTCGCTCGGCCACAGGCAGATCTCTCTTACCGTTTCCACGGTTTTAAGCGCTCTGACTGTATTGTGAGAGACTATGGAACAGAGGCGCAGTTTTCCATGTTTTAACCATACTGCATGTGGCCATTGATTGGGGGCAGACAGCAGACTTCCTATTTTTGGGCTTTCTTTTTGCACAGGCCAGGGCTAATATTGGACCATCTCTGCATTCATCCGCCAGCACATGGAATCGTTCTTGATGAACTCCCTGACTCGGAACTCAGGAGAGAGGAATTTCATTTACTCTAACGTCATCAGCCAGCTCGGACCGATCCATTTGTTGTAGATCCATCCTTCAATGCTATTTCATCTTTTCTTTTTGCCAGGGATGCCACGGTGCCAGCCTCCGAGGCTGGCGTCATCACGCTCTTCGGTGACGTCAGCAACCGGCAGCATGCTCGTGCCCGTCTCCGGGCGACGCTAGCAACTAGTCAGCCGTGACGTCGGCACCTAATGCCCGGCTTGCGCCCGGCTCGGAGGGGCGCGCAGGCGCGTAGGACAATATGTGGAACCAGCGCCAGTTGTCGTGCGCAAGGAAGCGTACGAGACGGCGGCCTTCGTTGCAACCGCTGCGGTGAGAGACCAGAACCTTCTTCATTACTTACCACCGTGTCTCTTGCGTTATTGGGTTGACAAGTAGCAATACCGGTCTGCCAATATTGTTCATCTGTGTCCTGACTTCGGTCTGTCGTTCAACCGGCGCCCTGCGCTGATCACTGTCCTCAAATCTCTTATCAGATATTTCAGATAACGATTTGGATGCCGGCGGTGGCGGCGACGAAGCTCAGTTCGCTTAGTGCAGGTGCCTCGACGTGCTTCCTTGGCCGACGAAGCCGAGCTTTGTGAAGTCTTTCCTCGGCATATCTCTGTTCCAATCTTCCTAGAACTTCTCCTCGATATATCCGGTCAATTTATGTACAGGCTTTCCGGATCATGTCTTCGGTCAGAACCTCGATTGGTGGTCTGCAGTCAAGGTTCAAGTGATCAGAAAAGGGCGTTTGACAAGTCTGGTCATCATCCTATGTGGACACCCATGATAGACTATGAGAAGGGGCGCATACAGACCTAGTCCGCATTAATTCGAACCGCTAGCAGTTCTGTAGCATTGATTTCATCTCCAGTGGATTCCAGAATCTATATCTGCAGGGCCCACCCCTCTTCAAGTCTTACGCCGTAAGACGGCGGCCTCTTCTTGGGCTCCGACTCACTTTCGCCCTCGTATTTCCACAGAGTCCTGCCACCGTTGCATTATATACTACTCCGTCCGCTTCTCCAAGAGCTGCGTGCCCCCTCCACCAGCGCCGACAACCGATGGTTTTGCTGACGTCATCAGGTGGAGAAGGCGGGCGGGAAGCTGACGTCATTTGGGCGCGATCGGACGGAAAGCTGACGTCAACTGGGCGTGGTCCGGACCCGGGCGCTGGCCTCCCTGCTGTGCGGGTCCTGAATCAGAGAGCCTGGAGGACGCGAATCGTATTAGCGTTGCGGCCGCTGCCTGCGGCACACGCCTAGAGGCGGAGGGTACGCTGACGGCTTTGACGTGTTGCGTGACGAACTCCTGCAGCGTTTTCCAGGCGTGAACGGCCTCCGCAGGGTTCTCGTTGCTTGGAAAGGAGAAGTATGGATAAGGACTCCGCTAGTTAAAATTTGGTCCGCACAATATGGCTCCGCTTCGGGGGTTCCGAGATTGACTTAGAAGTCAAGTATCCGCTCGTCTCGCTTCCCTTGTTGAGATTGCGTGATGCAGAGTTCTCCTACGTACGATTTGCTGATATCCAGTCCTTGTTCATGTCGTGAACCATTTTTCCTTGTCTACCGCACCAGCCCTGATGTCGACGCTCGGAACCACATCTCTTTCGCACCGTTCCAATCCTCAAACTTCTCCATCTTCGCCGAGTCGTCGTGAAAATGGCGAAGGCTGCAATGCTGTCGGTTCTCTCCCCTTCTCTTTTCTTGAACCAGTTGTACTCACCCCTGCCCCGTACCTTTGCAGACGAGGTGCAAGCGGAGAGGCGCCTCGCTCTTGTCCTCGTCTCGCCAGATTGCCAAGCCTCGTCAGAACACCAGGACGCGCAGTAGAAGCAGATGCTCGTAACGGGATTCAACAGGGCGCTGCGGAAGCGAGTGCGGTGAACGCGCGGGCGACTTGTGCCAGGTTTGTCGTCAAGGATGCCACTTCATTTGGCCATGTGTGCTTGCTTTCATTGAGTGCGAAAGGTTCCCGACTGCATGGAACTAAGTTGCGTGGGTGTTCGGTCTACTGAGACCTTCTAATGCTACTTGCACCGCTGCTGTCCGCCAGTTTGACGACCGTATGCACCAAGACAAAATAGCGGTCTAGGAACTGAGACGTGTATTCTTGGCAACCCGGGTGCGCTATTCCAATCAACCTTCCCAGACGTCTGTTCTGTCTACGTTGGGCGGGCTGTGAGCGGTCCATCGGTGCACTTCTGAGAACGTTTGATTGCTATCCTCGTGCACTCAGCGCCGAGCCGATCTGCTACCACCGCAGGTACGCCGCCGGATGGAACCCCTTGCTGACGTCATCCACTGGCTCCCCGCTGACATCATTCGCCTCCGCCCGTCTGAAGGAAAGCGTGCGCCCTGGTCAGCGGTAGGAAGGCGCGTGGCTCGTGATTGGAGTGGCGGTTCTGGACGGGTCGTACTCGCGGGGGCCGCGCGAAAGGACTTGGTTGATGGAAAGCTATCGCCCAACAGGTGGGATATAGCCGGTTGCATTCTCCCGTTCTGCGTTCGGTCTTCGCCTGATTAATGTATCCTGTAGCATGGTTTGCGGTTGTGCGGATTGGTTTTATTCTACCTCCTCTTAAATATGCCGTCAGTTTACTCTTGACACAGCTTTTGACAGCGTTGAACAACCTGTGGATCCCCTCTGAAAGCCGGCTTTCGAAGGGAAGATCACGCAATGGCATGTGTACCCGGGACCTGTAGAAGAGGGTGCAAAGTCAAAGCCTGTTTGGTTACCACTAATGCTCCGAAATGACTACTCACTGTTTTCTGAGGCCTTTCATAAGACCTGTGTACGGCCTTTGGAAGGGCATGACTACTTTGACACTCATCTCGAAGATCGTCTCCGCGCAGGTTTCCGCCTTGATGCAGGGAATCGCATAAACGGTGGTTTTCCTGTGCCCGGGCTCGTCAACCGAGCGCTCGTTCTAGCTCCCGCCCTGTCTTCGACTACGTTCCGCTGGCCTAGTGAGTGCCGCCTGACGAACCCCGCCACCCCGAGCACGGGTGTCAATTGCTGCGCGGTTTCAGTCCTGTCAGCGGGAAGTCCCGCTGACGTCACCCTGGACACAAGTAAACGCCGTGTGGTGGCCCTTATTTCTGATTGAGCCCGGGCAAGAGAGCGGACGGACGTGCCCCCGCCGGAGCCCCTTACGCGGCCAGGCTGGCGAAGTGAAGCACTGGGAAAGTGAGCAGATCTGCGAGAACTTGCTGCCCGTCCAGAATCTTAAGGCGTGCTATGTTGCTTGAGTACTTTCGCCAGGCTTGTCAATCTTATAGAAACTGGTCGTGAGTTGGATATTGAATCGTGGCCTGTGCTCACACCTTGTTGGCAGTTCACTCAGTGGTGCTTTTTCCACATTCCCATGTGCCAGACAAAATTGATGGAACGCAGGCAGGCAAGCACCATTCTGCTCTCCTTTGTTTCCGGTCTTAATCTGTGTATGATTAGTTGTGCATGATAATTTGTGCATGATCACGGAAGTCAATACAGACCGTGCTTCTGCTAGATCTGCTGATCATTGTATCTGATTGGCATACCTCCCTGTTCGGCAGACGCAAGGGAATCGACTCAGCTACAGAGGTGTAACGA